CTAAAGTTTGAATAGGTTTAAATGAAAAAAAAAAAAAAACAGAAAACAAAATAATATGTGGCGTGGTCATGGCGCGATCGTGACAGAAAAACCATCGTAAATGAGTGCACCGAACGCCAATAATACGCATAAACAGAGTTATAAATATTTCAGAAAAACGTTCGAACAATTAAAAAAAATATATACCTATTATATAAAAATAAAAATAATACTCTGGTAACTCAAATGCAATACTATGACGTAAACTTAAAATTTWTATGATAACTTGCAAAAAACGCAACACCATTAAAAATATATTACGTATTATTTGTGATGAACTGCCAATACGGACAATTATTACTGAAACTACAGGGTGGAGAAGTAGGTTCTAACGATTTATAGAGTACTGAGGTTATAGGTACTAATGTAGATATAAGATAAACTAGTTTTTCATCTGATTGAAGTTCATGATGTTTATTTTTACCAGGCTATATAGCTTRGCCACCACGTTCTCCTGATTTGACTTCACCTAATTTTTTATTATGGGGTTATTTTAAATCTAAAGTATTCATTAATATGACACGTACACTATATTTGGGTTAAAAGAAAACATTAGACTGGAAATTATAGCCACCGATGTGCAAATCCTACAGATAGTTATGGACAGTATGAAAAAACTGATAGCCAACTGTATGAAAAATGGGCGGCCACTTAAGTAGAGTAATTTAAAAAATTCAGGAATTTTGTTAAAAATAATTAAATATAATCTTTATGATGAATAAAATTTGTTTCATTACTTGGTTTTTAATAATTGATCAATAAACTACCTACAATTACAATTCGTCAAAACCCACTACCCCGGCATATTCAAAATATACGAAAATAAATAAAAATATATGAAATTGGTGAAACTGAGGTTTGACATACGTGGACCAAATAGCTTTAGCTGATGTTTCTCATAATAGTTTATATAAGTCAGTCAATCGTTGCCAAACAAACGTWCAAGTACCGTCCGTCATCATAATAATGATAATATTACATGRTATACAGTCAAGATGTTTGGCTTGTCAAACTATTATAATARGTATACCTAACTAAAAAAAAATATTAGTCATAGTACTGCGATTTATATATTTTATTGGTATGTGTTTTTACACAGTCCTTTTAGAAATTTTGTCAATCGTCTCCACGATTCATCTCATTTTGGTTAACATAATATATTTATTTTCCACATTTCGAAATATATGAATACGAAAATTGCATGTCCAATAGAATATTTCAATATTTCAAATAAAACGCTCGGTAATATGCTTGATGCTGTCATATTACGTTCCTTTAATTTAAATTGTATATATTATAATCAGTGATTTTTTT